CCGCTCATTTAAAGGCTGCTTTACACATTGGCTTCGGTTGCGTTCGCATGCAACCGAAACGACCACTACGACAGAGTCACCAAGACAAGTGTTCGCCGTACACAGCGTGGCAAGCAATGCAAGGGGTAGATGGAACAGCGCGGAACATAGGACAGAAAGAACAGGACAACACGAGCGCTGACTTACAACTGACTTGTTCTAAGACTGTCCTGTTCTTTCTGTCCTATGTTCCGCGCTGTTCCATCTAGTCATGAACCAACTAGCCCATCAAAGCACACTGCGCAAGGGGTAGCTTCGTGAAGTAATCCATGAGTCACGGTTGTTCCGGTGTTTTGGTCGCTTTTGTCATTTCGGTTGCATGCGAACGCAACCTTTGCAAATGTGTGAACCAGCCATTATATTAACGAGTTTTAGTAGATAGTTTTCAAATGCCCACTACCGCTACGGGCGCGCGCTTCACAGCATGCATCGAAGTGGCAGCGCGAGCTCACGCTGCAAATAGCGTGGAATTGAAAACACGATCTTCTAAAACTTTCTGTTGTAACGGACTATAATGCATTAGTGCTTAGTGAAGAAGCAGGTCCACAACATGATTGGTAATGCGCTGAATCAGGATTAGCACATGAAGTGACAAGTTTAGTGCTCGATGTCTGGGATTCGTACACCAACTTTTTGTGACTTCGCAGACTGGAAAAGTCTCCTATAATGACGTAAACACAATACATAAAAAAAAAAAATAAGTGTCATTCTCTCGGTCTGCTTTATTTAATTAAATTAAGTTTCCAAAGAATATTTTAATAGACCAACCCAGGCCGACTAGAGAATTTAATTAACTAATTACTCATTAACAGGATTTCACAATATTGGCCTTATTATTTGTGATTTGGACATTTTCTTACGACGTTCTCAAGGTATGAGGTAAGCGACAGGCTCCTTAAATGAAGCCTGACATTCATCTTCCGTAAATTTTGACAGATGAAACTAAAGAGCGCAAAAGAAGTGACCCCCGGTAACTTTGATTGAAGTTGAGTGAGGCACCGCATGGACTTGTGTAGAAAGCTCTTTACTGGTTTGGACCGACGCGCTTTGTAGATTTCGGCGTCGCCAGCTACTAAAAGTGAATCACTATTTGCCGTTGACAACGCTGCACTCGGGCGATTTTCATGCAGACGGTTTATTTTCGGCGTCACGTTTTGTGGACCCCAGGCATTCTCAAGCTGCCTGTGACAGTTTCTTACGCGGGGAGTCCCAACCTTTGTGTTGAAATGAGTTAATTGAATTGGACTGGTTAGCTGATGAATGTCATTTAAGCAATTAAAATACTCTAGACATGGGACTAATTAACGGCATACAGCTTCTTGAAATTCATAAATAGACCGACCAAGGGAATGTTTATATCGCAAAAAAAAAGAAAAACGACTAAGAACGTCAAACAGATGTAGGTGTAATATTGTAAACAAATGAATTGCCCTGATGTTGACGTACCATTATTTCTAGTATTAGAAGAACAAAATTAAAATTGAACGTTTATTTCCTTGTCCAAGAGTTCACCCATATAATCAAAAGCCACTGCTTTCGAACTGTTATGAATACAAAACATGATGCTTTCTCGGGAAACGCACGTGGTTATTTGCACTGAGTATTTTGTCACCGTCCTTGAGATCACAAAAGCGCGATCATAATATACTTACCTACATTGCGCTTCCTATTGCGAATGTTTTGCCACTATTAGTAAGCAAACCTCAGTTCTCGTAAGGTTTGACCTTTGAACCCCTTGTGCTGTCTTAGTCATATATGTGCTGAATGTGCGTGAGCACTAACGCTGATTCATGTGCCCATAGAGCCTCTTCACGCGTAGCCGGCACGCCGACGGCAAAAATAGTAAAATGTGTTACAAAATTAAATGCAGAAGTTGTGCATACAATGATGTAGTGGAATTACGTAGTAAATATAAGTATCGGATAACACTTTACGCAGAAAGGTAAGAAATGCTGTGAAACGCGACGAAAAACGCGAATTCAACGCATCCGCCAAGGCGCGGAGTATCGCGGAGGGGAGAGCGGAGCGACGAGTTGAAGCAACCTCATGGCGGCCGCATCACGTGATGCCAAGATGGCAGCACCCATGCGGCGGAGGGTGAAAAGGTCTATAGCGTCCATGGTACACGACTTTTGCCTTTCTGCGGCGCCGCGGCCCTTCTGGGCCAAGACTTGGCTTGCTCATGACGTCATTCCTATTTGGTCTTGCCGAGGAAAACGAAGTCGGTGTTGCGGAATACATGCTGCAGAAAGTATGTACGCGCACACCAGCAAGGTCCTTCACAGTGGCCAATGACGTGACGTCAGAGAAATCCGTGTGCAAAGATGGCTATTACTGGTATTGCTACTAATAAGCCAAGCAACAATACAGGGTGTTTCTAAGCGTTATTAGGGGGTAAACGAAATTCGTAAAAATATACAAATTAAAAAGAGTGCAATCAAACTTTTCATAAAGGAGTCTTTGGATGGTGCATTCATCATACTCAAATTTCGCGACTGTATATTTCATATGAAAGAAATGCAAGAAAAAACTTGTTAGTTCCTATGCGCGGGAGAAAACCAGAAATCTGGCGCTGCTACTTACTCACATACGGCACCACATGAATACAAAAACTTGAAAGCTTTTACTCTTAGAGGTGAACACCCTAAATTAGATCCCAGTAGATCCGAGCGCGTGGTAAAATATCTGAGTAGCAACGTCAGCTAGACGGGTTGTTTTCTTTTTCTCCCGTTTCATAAAATACTTTTTTTTTCATTTTTTTAATCTTTTTTTAATCCTATTTGCGAAATTTGATTGAGTACTACAAATACGCCACCTACGGACATTATTTGGAAAAGTTTCGTTGCACATCGTTCACTATCTTTTTTTTTTCTTCTTCTTTTTCCACTGTATTGCGCTGGAGAATACCCCGCAGACATCATCGCATAATGATCTCACTATCTGGACCTAGGAAAAAAAAAATTTTTTTTCTCCAACTGGTAGGACAGACAATAATTAAAAATAATGTTCGCCGAAAAAAAAAAATTTTTTTTGCCCAATATTTGTGTTACAATACGAAATTTTCGATTTGCGGGCGAAACCGAAGCTTTACCCCTGTGGGATTATAATGATAGCGTTGGTACTTAACTAGTGAGCGCTCTCAGGCAACACTGGATAGATGGATTGATGGATAAAAAGGTCAAAGCAGCCATTTTGCGGCGCCAAGAGGCATCTAGGGAGCATATGGGGGCAAAGAAAAGGGGAGCCTAGCCAACTAAAGTAGCATGAAAATGGGAGAACTTCCAAGAGCGGAAAAGGAAGACATCAGCTTTAATATAGGCCGAAATTGGGAGTGCAGGAGTGCAGTAGATAATGGAAATAAATTAAAAAAATAGGAATCCGGTAAAAAGGTTTTCAAGACGTATTGATACACAGGAGGGGAGAAGAGTAGAGAGGGAAGGGGCACGGGATTATATTAGACGCAAAATCGAAGAGGCTTTCTCCCAGTTTGAGCAGAAGAGGACAGTGGATAGCATTGACAGCAGCAGTGTAGAGGGGGAGGAGAATTGTGGAACAGTAGAGACGACCAAAAGAGAATGTGATAAGGCAGAAAGTAAGGTCCCGGCGGGTGCAGCGACAGGCCCAGACGACATACCCATGGAACTCTTTAAGACACCACAAAAAACAAGCAAAGTGAATTTACGGCATGCGATGAATAAAATAATTATGGGAAGAGAGGTACTCAATGAGTAAAATGAAACTAATCTAAGTATAAACGCCCAATAACGGTAACTTCAGTTCTATACAGATTAGCTGTACAGATAGTAAAGCGGATAATGGAGGAATGGGCAGAAGATATGCAAATAACTGGAGCTCCAAAACGTATTCTGAAGAGATGGAAGACTGGAAGATAACTTATTCGTCAGCACACAATGTATAGAAATAGCAATGAAAAACTAAAGTCATTTATGTTTAGCTTATTTGGATAGCAAGGGCCAGGAAAAACTCGGGGGTCAGCTGAAGAATTGAGATGCGAATTTGGTTAAGTTTCTTCGGCAATAATATGGTTATAACATGGGAAGCAGAAACTACACAACCCGCAGCAATCAAAAAAGGCCTCAGGCAGGCCTGTCCACTGTCACCTCTACTCTTCATGTATATCTCAGTGAAATGGAAAATAAATTAGAACAGAACAACTTAGGTTTTGATGCGAGTTTTGTGGAAGTAGGGAGAAATGTAGTACATGTAATACCAGGACTGATGTATGCGGACGACATAGTACTTTTAGCAGATAACCAGGATACGTGACAGGAATTAGCTGGAATATGTGAAGAGGAAGGGAACACCTGGGACATGAGTTTGAGTAGTGACAAGTTCGGAGTAAAGGTGTGTAACGACGAAAAGAGGGAACCCCTGAGGATACAAGACATTGTAATATACCAGGTAGGAAAATACAAATATATGAGAGTCTGGCTCAATGAGGGAAGGAAATATCTAGAGGAACATGATGAGAATAAAATTAGAAAAGGGAAAAGAAATTCATCTATTGTGAAGCTCAACGCACTAGGTATATGGAAAGGAGTGATGGAACCAGGACTGTCTTTTGGAAATGGTGTACCATGTGTATGAAATGAGAGGTTGAATCAGGATTAGATATTCGACACAGAAGCGTCATATTGACACTAGGAGCACATGGAGAGTCATTAAATGAGTGTGTACAGGGGGACATGGGCTTGGTGTCTTTTAAGAGCAGGGGTGCAATTAGTAAATTGGAATTTGTACAAAGTTTGACCGAAATGGATGATATGCAGTGGGCAGGAAGGCATTCAAGATATTTATACCTGAAACGTTTAAACACAAAATGGACAAACCGATCCCGAAAGCTTACATTTAAATACCTACACACTAGTGATGGGGCTGAGCAGTCTACGTCAGTGGGAAAGGGAGTGAAAGAGGCAGAAAGAAAAACGTGGGAGGTAAGAATGCATGAAAAAACTCAGCTGAAAGGCGCGGCACCGCCGACCACCACGGTACGGGTTGTTTCCTTTCTGCGGTACTGCTGCTCTCCTGAGCCAATAAAGATAATAATTACTGATATTATTACTAACGAGTCAAGCAATTGTAAGCAGTTCGGTGGGAATCAAGAGCCGTCGTCCACCGTTCTCTTCAGGAACGCGGCCAGCAGCCACCCGAGACTTCAGAGACCCAGAGCCCTTCTGCAGCGACGTCCTCGGACGCGGGGCGAGCGGACGGGAAAGACACCGCTGGCACCGGTCCACGTGTCATCCGAATCCCATCCCCATCTCGCCTGTTCACAGTAAGTCAGACGGACTACACGATCCCTGAAAAAGAAACACTTTTTTTATTTTTATTTACGGCCAAAATTTTACTTTTGTGTGATATTCTCGCTTCTTTCTCGATGTCTGTCTGTCCTGAGGCAATGAGCTGATATGTCGATAAAGGGATATATCGATTTATATATGTATATGCGGTTATAGATATGCATGTTTCGCGGGGTTCGCTGTTTCACCATATTGCAGGGTTTGAAAAGATTTAAGTAAAAGCGGCATGTTTTTTCTTTTTTTTTATGGTATATTAAAAATCATGAGTCATTCCACTTTGTGAAGGTGGATGACCAGCGAAGCTTTTTAGCAGAAGACACAGGCCCGCCCCGAGGAGCCGGAGGAGAGTAGACACACAGCGACGGGACCGCGCCACCCGGCGGAAAGTAGACACGCGCGAAGGTACTGCCATCCTGGGAGAGCGGAAGGAAAGGAAACTAGGCACGCAAGCGGGGCTTCGAACGACGACAAAGAGAGGGCGATGCGAGCGTATACAAGGCCGACGCGGATCGCACACCGGCAAATCTTTGAGAAACCTTTATTATCATCCTGAGAGTCTACTGATCTTGAAAATGGTGCATACTGATAACTGATTTGCTCAACAGACATATTGCTAAATTACCCAAGCATCAGGGAGAATGCAGGGAATGGTGTTCCACGCAGAAGAATGGATAGTTGGGCGAGTTGTTGTGAATCCATCTTGGGACACAGCGCGAACAACAGACGTGGACGAAGGTGGTTCAAGCGCATGCTGACTGTAACGAATTGTTTCAACGTTGTTGGGAAAACAAAATGGGGCTTACAAAACGTATTATGTCGTCTACTTCCGTGGGCTGCAGGTCCCCTAGAGGTGCCACTGTCGTCATGCGCAGCTACTTCCGATGGCGTTCAAAGGAATTTCCAGCACTAGCCTTTATCGTATTTGCTAATGCTACGTAGGGTCTTCGAACAGGACTGCGCGAATACATGTAGATGGAACAATTTATCCCCTTACCAGCTCTGGTCACTTAGTGACCAAAGCTGGGGAGTGGATAAATTGTTATTTATCCACTGGGCGCCATCCATCGATATGTGCGGGCACCAGGGCGCACAGGTAAGATTAATGAGGAGCACCCAGAGGTTCCGGAGGCAATGGTGCTTACTTGCTTTTCCGAAGAGCTCGGGAGAAAGAGAGAGAGGGGGGGGGGAGGGCGTAGCCGGCGCCTATGAGAAGAGGCACTTAGTCCTCGTTGCAAAGTAGTAGAATTGTTCAGACTCCGAAAAGCTTACCCACAGCATGGCACAGCAAAGGGAAACATCGGCTGTAGCATAACGTTCTTACTCATAGAAGCTAGCATTAGGTTGGTAATTTTCAATACAGCACTAACTTCTCTCAATTCGAAACATTTATTTATTACTGCAAATCTAAAAGTTACAAAAAGAAAAAGAAAAAGCATACAACCTGCGATTGTACAGCCCACGTACCAGTATTATTTAAGTATCGGGGTTGGAATTCCTTGTTTTGTTGAATTTACACGCTGGTGAACAGATACATCTATTTTAGAAGAAACAAGTATTCAACATAAATAGTGCAGTTCATTCGGAAACAGGCATCCGTCGTGGTGATCGATGCTTTCCAACATCTGCCTAGAGCAGACGACGCATCCACACGAGCGATTATTTAAATACAGGCCGTACGCTGGTAACACGGTTCCATCTTCACTGAAGCAGCGAACAGTACCGCACCATTTTTCGCTAGAATTGCTTTCCCACCGATACTATGGAGAAACAAAAAAGAAAAAAAAAAAGATTCCCACAGGTGTCTACACTATTTCGTGCGAGAACGTGTGCTTGACAAATTTAGAATATTGCTGCCAATTTCATTTTGTTGAGAGAATGTTTTTCGACCAGCGAAAAAGGCGGAAGGCTATACATTGCATGCTGTTTTGATCGCCAGCACCCTGCGTTTATGGTGTTATTGTAACATCCTTAGGGTTTTATCCTTGGGACAAGCTAACTTACACCCTTAAGGGTGTATTGTTTTCAGTGCGATGATGAATATTGGCGGCAGATAATCGGCGCCAGATCACTATTGTCCGATTGTGTTGATTGCCATTTGAGAAAATAATGCTCGTGCGCTGCTCGTACTTTTGTTGTTGTTTTTACTATTGCATGAAGAGAAGTATTAATGCTCACTGAGAAGGTCATGAATTTTAAATATTCGTGATCGTTAGTATTTAGCGTAAGTATAGAACTTTGTTTAATGCCCCCTTAACGCCTTAATTTAAATTTATTATTAATCAAGGTATCAACATGATTATAGTGTTTTAGAATTCTTTTTTTTTTCGCATTTGTCATATGTTGGTTTATTCTTTAATCTACACCATTTCCCAATAGGGAGTATTCACTGGCGACCATAGCTATGTGCGCGTGCTGATGGCGAGCTTCCACAGTTGTTTTGCAACGTGCAATCCGCACCATCAAGAATGCTGGTCTTAGCAGCCTATTGATGTGAGCTCGTCCTGAGCATGCGCTCTAAAAAATTTGCAAAGAGCGAACTTACCCGAGGAAAAAGTAAAGAAACAAAAAGGCTTCGCTTCTATGGAAACGCAGCGACGCCACCGGTCTGCAAACAACACGACGCCGTTTCGCACGGGAGACAAGAGATGGCGCAACAAACGCCGCCAACGAACGAGCATACGGCGCCAAGAGCAGGCCTTTTTAGCAGACGACCTTTTCGACTCAAAAGCGGCGCGCGTTCCGCAGGCGGCGACAGTCGCAGAAACAAAAAAGACAGGCGCGGTAACAGCAAAGAACTGCAGTTCCTTGTCTTCAAAAGGGCCGGCTCTCGGCGTCGTCTGCTCATTCGTTGGTGGCAGTTGGCGTCGCGATCGCTTGCGCCATCTCTTGTCTCCCGTGCGAAACGGCGCCGTGTTGTTTGCAGACCGGTGGCATCGCTGCGTTTCCATAGGAGCCAGAGCCGTTTATCGAGAGAGTTTGGCCATACATTGGTTTGAATAGGCGAGTATCTCGGGGCCAACCACAGGCCGCGAAACAGCCCCTAGCGGTGGTCGTGAGCTCTAAATTTGTGACACGACTAATTCAAGCCGTTTTAGCGTCGCTAGAGTTAAAAGGTGTAACTCTCAGTGACTGAAAACTTTGTGCGTGCGAGGTTTTCGTCACGCCAATATTCAAGTGTAGAATAAACGAACGTGCGCTCCAAACCAGGGCCAACTTGCTAGAAACAGCGTCTCAGCTGAGACGGTGAAAGAAAGCACTGCCAAGCCAGCGCACGAGCCGAGCGGGACACCGCGTCTCCAGGACGCTGTTCTAACAAGCCAACATCAGCAGTGCAGAGAAAGGCATGGGCACGAGCGCGTGGCTTTGGAAAGTGGCTCCTACGCACGACGCGCACGAGTTCACGTACAAACAAAAGCGTTTTGCTGAGCTAGGTTCACGCCCCTGTACCTTTGTCTTCACTGCCGACATTTGTGAGATAGAGCAGAGAGGCCGAGATTGAACGCCTCTATTTCACGCTTTGAATGTCGTTTGCAATATTCTGACGTCGCGGTCTCCTGATTGGTCGACGCTGTGTCACAAATTTAGTTTACGCTCTAAGCGCGGGGGGAATATTCGGCGCTGGCGGCGGCCTTTGCTCCGCCTGTTGGCCAAACTCTCCCAATACACGGCTCTGATAGGAGTTAAGCCTTTTTCTTTCTTTACTTTTTCCTCAGGAAAGTTCGCTCTTTGCAAATTTTACAAAAAAAAAAAAAAATAAATGCACCATCTGTGGGCAACGGTGCACAAAGTCGTAGCGCGATGGGTTAAGAAACCTAATTTTCCGGTCGATTTAAAGAGTCTGGCGTCTCCTTGTTTCACCCTGTATTCAGAAAGTCGTAAAGTGTATTGCATCTAGCACTGTCCAATCATCGCATTAGGAGAGTTGTTATTCTTACTTGTTCTTGCTAAGGAAAACAGATTTGATGATGCGAAACGTGTACCGCAGAAGGTACAGGCTCAGCGGCAAGGCTACCACCGCGATGACTGGTGTGACATCAACGCAGCCTGTGTGTAGCTTGCTATGAGGTGTATACCCACTGGACGCCGTATTCGAGGGCGCTGTTTAAAGCGCATGCTCAGAACGAGCTCGCATGAATAGCCTGCTAAGACCGACAATCTGGATGGTGCGGGATGCTCGCTGCAAAAGAACTGCGAAAGCTTACCGTCAGCACGCGCCCAACAGCCGCGCACGCAACCATGGCCACCAGTGAATTAGCGGCGGGATGTTTTAGTGGCGCTCTCCTGTGGTTCCTTCTCGTGACGTCATTATCTTGCAAACAACAAGTTCGATGGTGTTTGTAATTGTATAGTGCGTCCTGAAACCAACACTGCCAACACCGCCAAATGTGAAGTTCTTCCTTTACTCTTAATTCCGTCGATGAGAAATCCTTTGCGGACGTCATAGCTAGCATTCGGTCAACCGTGGGAGTACGAACACAGCGACGCTTTCGATCGTGCACGTCGCCAATAGCGAGATGCACGAAGACGAGCACTTTGGATAGGCTCCCGCACGTGCCTCCCACAAAGCCGCACGGAAGTCTTGTGTCTTTCTTCGAGGGGATGCTGTCGAAGCGAACGTTCCTCGCAGGACGCCGTCACGCCGATCAAGGCCAGCAACCCCCGCTGCTTCCTGGACGTCGACGTCAGCGGCGAACCAATAGGCCGCCTAGTCGTCGAACTCCGGGCGGACGTGGTGCCCAAGACGGCCGAGAACTTCCGGACCCTCTGCGCCGGAACGCTGGGCTACGGCTACCAGGGCTGCCCCTTTCACCGGATCGTGCCCAACTTCATCTGCCAGAGCGGATGCTTCGAGACTCCGACGGGCAAGACAGGGGGCTGTTCCATCTACGAGGGACGCCCCTTCGAGGACGAGAACTTCGCCCTGCTTCACCTGGAACCCGGCCTACTGTCCATGGCCAACGCCGGCCCCAACAAGAACGGCTCGCAGTTCTTCATCACAATGGTTAAGGCGCCCTACCTGGACAAGAGGCACGTGGTGTTCGGGCGAGTCCTGACGGGCATGCAAGTGCTCAAGACGCTCTCCGATCTGGGCACGGTCAGCGGGACTCCACTGCGCCCGGTGTCCATCCGGGCCTGCGGTGTGCTGTGAACCCTTCATGGATGATGAGCGTAATTCCAGCTCCTTCTAGACGACAAGGCCGTAGCGCTGGGTTTGCTACGTCACCTTCCGAAGGTCAATCCGGGGCAAAGGTTTATATAATTCTTAAACTGGTGGGGGCTTATAAATCGCTGGAACAGAGCACGAAGTAAACACGAGTGCTGTGTCAGCGCTCGGCTGGGTGCCCTCGGCGTTCGAACACGAGTCCCAGTCGAACGATGACGCCGCACTCGTGTCTGTGTGCCTCGCGCTGGCCTTCGGTAGGTGACGTCATAAATCTAGCACCGCGGCCTTGTTGTCTAGTTAGGTGTGGGAAGTTCTCCTTGTCACTGACAACGAGGCCAGAAAAAAAAAATTGTCTTCCGTATTAAACCTGTCAACCTGATTTCTACACTAAGATGAATCGCTTTCATAAGGTTCATGCTCGTCTTTTGTCAACAAGGAAAGGTACACGGCAGTGGCTGGTTATTAGAAGTGTACCAAAACTCGAAACTTGGAATAACTAACGAATAATGTTTTCAATTCTAGTCGATTCGCGGCACGCCTTGTAGCGATCGAAGTTTTTTGAGTTTTTCAGCTATATGAAAAATGACGAATAGAGTCTTCGGGATTCCCCGATTTTTCGCGTCAAGCTGCACCGGTGCGCGCCGGCGCGCTCGCGCGCGTCGAGCTTCACTGCCTTGCACCGGTGTGCTCGGAGAAACGGCCTACCCGGCGGCGCGTCTCGGTTGGTTCTCGTCTTATTAGGAACTACTTTGTAATCGAAGACAAGTATCGAAATATTTTTCATGCATTAAAACGGTTGGTTTTCATGGTGAAACATAACTCACACTGCGGCGCATTAGAGCGAATGTGCTTAATTGGTAGTAAATATAAAATTCTCGTTCTTGATAACACCCGATTCGACTCGCAGTCAAAACGTTTATATTTGCACACTTATGTTCGTTACTGCTTGGTTTGCTTGGCACCCGTGCTCCCCCCCCCCCCCCTTTTTTTTCCGCAAAAAAAAAAAAAGCGAATTAAAAGAAATAGAAGAGCGAATTTGTCGAGGTTGAATTAGGCGATTTTGTCTCATGGATGGGGATGGACAGGTTCAAAAATGTCGAGCTTCATCGTTGAACATACTGTTTCAATTCGGAGACACAAATTATATTCCATTTTTAAACGTCGTTCGACGGGACTTTTTATTTTTTTTTATTTATTTATTTATTATTATTATTTTTTTTTTTTTTTTTGTGACGTTTCCTTCTCTCGCTCGTCCAAGTAGCAAGCACCTAGCCGCTGGTCAATTTTCATCCCGCGCGCTGAGCTCTTACACGTCGTGAGCAGCTGCTCAGAAAGAACGTCTCCTTTCACTGCAGTGCATGGGACCGGTGTCTTATGTGTAAGTTATGATACTCATGGGCACAGATATACGTTATGACAATGTGTAATTATGTCGGTTCGGGGTGTGCATGCATGCCTTAAAATCTGCTTGCATTGCTAAGGGTTCAGACAGCTCGAAGGTTCAGCGCACACAACAAAATGTGTCAGCATTTTTTTTTTTTTTTTTCAATATTAGAACAAGCAGAGGCTAACAGCAGCGAGCGCACGAACCTGCCGAAACCAACCACCGTCGCTGTAGCGCCGCTGCCGCCTCAGCCACGCTGCCGAACCTCTACAGCGAACCGCGAACGCGAAATCCCCTACTTCGTCTACCCGCCGCCTCCACACGCCATATAACCAGCGGCGCCACCCAACGCCTTCTCGCCACCGCGGCCGCTCTCTTCCTCCATCACCTCCTCTCCGCTCTTTTCCTCTCTGTCCTCCTCCGGAGCTTGTCGGCATGGCAACTCGAGCAATGGCAGCTCCTTGACGAGAACGCGTCTTCGCGATATCCCCACGCAAACGGTCTTGGCCACCCTCTAGCCTAGCCACGGATACTGGCCGAGTCCTCCGCCGCGCCGAAGGGAGCCGTAGCCATGCGCGACAAACAGGGTGAGTGAGTACTCGTCTTTCGTCTCAGAACGCGGGGCCGCAAACGCATCACTCCGTTCGACCGAGGAGGAGATGCGACATTCCGTTGCGTCTTCTTCGCCTTTGGAACGCGTCGTCGCGTTGTCGTAACCGGCGTGAGTGTACCCTACAGTCGTCTGCAGTGCCCCCGTTCCGACGCAACACTCGCCCGCGCGACAGCACTGGGTCCCGTTTCTAATTGGGAACTTCCCGTGTTGCGCGACGCAACGTGCCGTTATAATCCTTTTAGAACTTAAATCAACTCCTAATCTCTTAAGCCGCGAACGAGGGACGTCGGGTTGATAATCTGCAGCAATGCGGTTCCGTGGTGATGTTTCCGTGAGGAAGATCGATTATTATGTTTTCTTCTTTTCTTCTCTTGCCCGCGGCTCAGGCATTATAATTCGCGCGGCAGGCTCGTAGACCCGTTGTGGCTGATTCCGTGTCGCGTTTGTCGGAGATCGATATTTAAACTCTCGCTGTACTCTGCCTTTGGAGTAGCGTGTTGCACCGCTGCCTGCCGCGCATTGTTGGCTTTGATACAATGCATGCACGATCATACGCCTCGTTGACTGTATGAATTATATGTTAGCTTTTGCCCGTATCGAGAACGAGCGATCGTCTGCTCTCGTAGACTGTCAATGACAGCCTTAGAAACGCGGACCGTTGACTTGTTATGTTCACGAATGACATGGTCGAAGGACCTGAAGGGGGAAAGGGGGGGGGGGGGGGGGGGGGCTTATTTATACATACATCTACAAAGAACTGTCCTGTCCGTCTGCTGCCTCTTGTTTGTGAAATTTGTTTGTGCTCGAGAAGCAGGCTTAATTGGATGTCTGGCTGGGAAATCGAGTTCTGCGATTGCGGCTTTCCAGCAAATTGACCGGTCTCGGCCCTAATTATTGTCCGCCCGTCTGCTCTTGCGCGCAGGCGCACGTATTGTTGCGCTAACAAGCCCACTTTGAAAGTTTGCAACGAGAACGAGAAAGGTGAAAAAAAAAAAGCGAAAGAAAAGAAAACGATCTGTGTGTTTGCGACGTATTTGTTGTGTGCCAGAAACGCGGGGTCATTAGTTGCAAACGCTAATTGGCGAACGGAAGCAAGTGTCACAACAAGTGCCGTTCTCGCCGTGTATTACGGCAGCCGCTTATTAGAACAGCCGCTTATTGTGACAACATCCTCTGGGGCAACACATACCGTAAACACGCCTTGTCCTTTGAAGCGAATGAATACAGCGAAATCAGGCGCTGCCGTGTTCGAAGCAAAGAATGAATACAGCAACGTCAGTCGCAGTACGTGAGGTATATGCTACTGCAGCGATGGAAGAGTTTTTTGGTCGTTGAGCCTCGCGCGCTTGTAAGTATATTTTCGAATTCGTTTATAGGACGCCAATAATCGCGGAGTTCGCTGTCGTAAGTGCGCCGCATTGTGTCGCAGGTGGGCGGAACGCTTGATTAGTACCAGCCGCCATTTTTGTTTGTGTTCGTATAAGTAACGCAGTTTGGGAGTTCGGGGTCGCGTTAAAGTGCTTGGATGGCAGCAAATGGGTGGGCGGAGCGAGACGATCGACCGTTTGTCCTTCTAACTTCGTGCGCACCAGTTAAAGCCGGGGTCACGTACTGCTCATACAACGTGCAAAAGAATGTCTGCGAACACTTGTCACCGCAACATCCTGGTTCGAATACCGCGAGCCAAATTTTCTGCTCGAAGTCATTGCCATGCGGCACTCGAAGCACGGATCTCGCGGCGACTCGTGTTCGAATCTCTATGCAGATTGTCTTTAAATGATGCGTAAGCAGTGTGACCCTAGCTTAACAGAAAACAAAACGAACAAAAATGCTTAGAGTGCAGGCTGGCTGGTGTATATCGAACATAAAGGTAACTTTGAGACTGGGGAAAAACAGACGGTTAATCCGGAATCACACTGGTGACATATTAGGGGCGAAGCTCCTTAGGGTCTAGCCTTGCCCGTCTGTCCGTCCGGCGTCCGTTCTCACATAAAAAAAAAAAAAAAAAAATGTTTGCGCAGTTTACAGGATTCGAACCTGTCTGGGGAGACCCCAATGGATTTCTAGTCCATCGCCTTAACCACTCTGCCACGACTGCGGGACGAGTAGGGGGCTCTGAGATGTGGCAGTTAACTCAAAAGCTGGGGTTTCTGTCATGGATGAAACGTTGCATGTACCCGCTCAACGTCTATACAGGAGAGGGTGCTGCGGTCAAATGCGTATATAATCGCGTTAAACTTTGCATGCATTGGCTCAACGTTTATAGACGAGAGGGCGCTGCGGTCAAATGCTCAAATGAGTATATAACCACGATCCATACCAAACATTCTCTTTCTGACATGGACCGTTGACTTAAGCGGTGGAGATGCGTACCCACGGCTTCTAGCGGATCAAAGCTGATCCGCTAGAAGAACCACTGGCTCTGCATTTCACCGACCATAAAGCAGTAATAATGAAGTCGAAACGCAACCCGGAACTCAGCACTACCTATGAGCAATAAAAAAAAATCAGCACTACGTATGAACAATAAAATCAGTATCATCAGCACCACCAGAGCTTCGCCCCAATCAACATCATTCACCACGTGGAGATGCGGTCATTTTTTATACAAAAAGACAGCTTGCATGACATTATCCGAGGCGGGTTTCTTCCTCGTATGACGTCCACATTGGTCATAGAAAAACTGTCCGCAGACATTTTCGAAGCGTACATACGTATGAAGCAAAGCATGCTACGGACATTTCTGAGGCGTCTCCGCAGATAATTGTGCCATCATATCTGCAGAGAAACTCCGCGTCTTTTGTATGACGTACGAGCAGTGGGACTTAGAGGGACAAAAAAAAAAAGAAGGGACAGACAGCGTCTCAACACTGTCTATTTGCTTTTCACTTTTCTGTCCTCTTACTGTTTTAAGTGTGTTCTTCTCCAGTCTCATGGTTACCATCGTGGTCACCTTAAGCCAGGCTGCACAGATGCCCCATGGACGTCCGCTGGACGACCATGGTTAGGGCATCCCGATGACGTCTTCAGAACACAGTATGGACTATCAGGGTTCTGTCTGGCGTCCTACAGACGTCGGTTAATGCGAACCGCGGCTTGTTCGATCCTGATGGTGTGTCCGGGCGTTTTACCACTTGTTGCGCCTGCCGGTGTCTTTAACGTTCCGCGCACCTCCAGTGAGGGAATAGACTTCAGACACGCGCTTTGAGCATCGAAATGTACTCCGGCTTGAAAGGGTGCTGTGGCCCAGTGTGAATGGC